ACAATTTTAAATTGGGTTTTGGTCAACTTATGTTACTATGGCCATAATAAATCTACTTACTAAATCATACGTATCTTATAACATACATCTAACATTATTCATGAAAACATATACTCCAAAACGACATGCGATAAATAGATAGCATGCATAAATTTCATAAATAGCCAAAGCAAACCAAACATAAGTTTTAAAATACAACCCAAAAGACATTAAATTGTTTAAATTTAAACATATAGGCTACAAGCCCCAAAAGAAGGTATTATCCACCCAAAAGTTTCAAAATAACAGGAGTTCCCTAATGCATTAACACCCTAATCAATATCCCTATTATCATCACCAAAGCTCATACTGCCCAAAACAAGTACGCGTACAATCTCCGAATTGCCCTCCTAGTCTCAAAAACGACCTCCATAATCCCCGTAGTAAGATCATCCTGTGTGAGCAAGACTGTAAAAATGTCGTCTAAGGACTGCTAAATGTGATCAAGTGTTTGACGGTGGGACTGTAACTGACTGCTCAAGCCTGAGACCCAAAAGTTTTCCACTGCAGTCATGCCCCGAGGCTGTGGCACCGGAACTCCAATTGTTGGGGGAGGAGGGGCCATGCTCCATGATCGGGACTGCGATCCGCTGGCTTGCTCAGAGGCTCGGAGGGAACTGCGATAGTCACCCACCAGGGAGGGAGAACACACTTTTGGGCGGTTCTCATGATCCTAGGTCCTTGCAACGGACCATCCACATCGATCGGAGATGGCGTAGGAACAGATAATTCAACAGAAGTCTCTCGGGTGGCTGCGTCACTTTCCTCGGACGGGTCACTCTCCTCACGGACGGGTTGGTTGGTTTCTCCTAGGGAGGCTAGTAAAGTAACCAGATTTGTCAGGGGAGTGCTCAGGGAGTGAGGATGAGTGAGACATTTTTAAACTGTGACAGTAACAAATTTAATTACCAACTGTACTTAAGTAAATAATAATTCATAAAATGAAAATACTCATGCAACTCACAATTATGTTTTTCCTTTGGGCAAGAAATTTTTATTTTAGCCGACTTCCAATATAATTGTTTCTTGTCCCACCTTAAACATATTAAATTAGACATATGTGATCAAGCTTTGCCTAATTATAATATGCTAACTCAACACTTAGTCCAATTAAACCAGTAGTAAGCTTTTTTTTAAATTAAATTAGTTTAGAAAATATATATATTTTTTTAAAATCATTTGGTTATAATATTTGCTTTTAATAGAAAACCGGTGTTCTCTATAACCTATGGCTCTGATACCAAGTCTGTCACACCCCGCTAAAGCGGAAACACAAGGAGTGATAGTTCAAGATTTCACAGCGATAGGGCGAAAACAACACCAATTGTCCATTCAAATACATAACATATAAAGTCCAAAATTACATCATACAAGTTCAAAGTTTTTAACAACATGGTGAAGCAAAGTTTTCAACAAAAACATTTCAAATATAAATATGGTTGATGTCGTTGCGCCCCGAACATAAACGTTATCAGTTAACCTTTCTTACCCCTGAAAAACATAATAAAACAAGGTCAACTACAAAGAGCTGGTGAGTTCACAGGTTTTCAATAATACAAACCTCCATTTTGCATAAGCGAATATGAGCAAATTTAAATTTTTAATGGCACTTAATTTACTTTGAAAGAAAATCTTGGATTATTCAAGGCAATTTGTACTCTAATTTTAAGTATATAAAGAGTTACCACTAAACCTTTCAACCCCATAAAACTGTATTTAATTCTAGGTAGAACCTTTATCTTTAAGTATGGTGCACCCTTACCTGTAGTTTCTAGGTGGGATTGCTATCCACACCCCTACTTATCGGTTTTTAGGTGGGATTGTCCATCCAAATAACGCTATCCACAAATACCCTCGGCTTCTCACTTGAGTTAATAGTAGTATACAAACTTTTCTGTTACATTTTACTCAATATAACTATTAGTGTACATACCTTAGTGCCCACAACATCAAATTAACAAAATTTCATATTCATAATGAAAATAGCTCATATAGCACATTCAATCATGCTTTTCACCCCAAAACGTAATAAATACTTTGAAAGAGGGGCTGTGAATACTCACACTTTTGCAAAGCTTCGCTAAACAAAAACACGATCTGGTCCCCACACGTTGGCTTAACGTTTCCCTATCAAAGAGAAATATCCAAAATCGTTACTTATGGGTTTAAAACTACTTATGGGGATTAATAAGTCCTAAGTCTATAATTATCTACATATGTCCAACTTGATTATCTATAGTCCAATTATACATAGTGCACATATGCTCGTTAATATAGTAATTTATACCGAAAGTAATGTTATAATCCAATAAATGATTAAAATTTATAAAATCAAATAATTCCAAAATTTCACTTTTGGACAGAAACTAATAGTACTAAAAATGATCAATTTATAGAGACTTCTAAAATGACATAGTTTCCTATCTTTTTATATGGGATATAGTACTGAGTTATGGTCATTGTGACCAAATTTCATGCATTTTAGACATGTAAAAATGGTTCAAATAATTTATGCAATACAATATGTCACAATTGGTATGGCAGATTACACCATGTTAGTAAAATACTCATAAAAAGAGTTCTACTTGGTGTTCTGCAAAGATTCAAGTTGTATTGGAAACCTAACACTTATACGAAACATTTAAACTAAGAATCACTCATTTTGGATGAGTTAAGAGGAAGATATGGTACCATAAAGTTACATGCACACATCTATCATTAGTTGACAGATTGCACACATAACTTTAATAAATTGGTTAATGCCACAAAACTTCACATTTTTTAGTGAAACTGGGTTCATATGAACCATAACTCATAAAAGAATATTTCAGAAGAAGAATAATGTACTAATAGCAAGTAATAAAAGAGATATTAACACACAAAGTAGGATCTACCTATTGATGGTTTCACAGTTTGCACACCTAAAGTGTTTTAGGTGTTTGGAGGTCAAAACTCCATATTTTCATATGATTCCACTTGCATGCAGAATATAACTCATATATTTAACTCTCAAAGGAAGAATCATCCTTTTTCATTGAGTTTTGGAAGAGATATGGTCATTAGAACATGCCTATACAAATCTGTCAGTTTTAGACAGATTGCATACTCATTTTGTTTTGAGTAGTTGAAACCTCAAATCACCATAGTTTTGAATGAAATCAGTGGAATTTGAAAGGTAACTCATTAAATTAACTTCCAAAAGAAAATTCAATGATTTGGATGATTATTTAAAGAGTTATGCTTGTTTAAAGTAGGGTTTACCTACTGAAAAACTCCCAGATGCACATGCATCTTGTTTTGAGTATTTGGGGAGTCAAAACTCAATGTTTTGAGTGAGACCAATTGGATTAAAACCCCAACGCAATAAATAAACTTTTAGAAGATTCATGACATTTGAACATATTATTTGCAAGAAATTGACGATTTATGCACATGCATGCAATCTGTCAGCACTTAAAATGTCATTTTTTTAGGAATCAAACCCACATGCAACATGATTTTACCTATTTTCTTGAGTTCAAATGTTTGGGTCATAGATTACCACCATCATATGAAAATTTTTACATATTTTTGGTGTGTAATCTCTCCTTAAAACTCAGAAATTTTCGGAGGTTAGAAGAAGGTAGTTTAAAATGCAAGAAAAGTGGGTTTTTCCCCCAAAGTTTGCAAGAAAATGGTGGAGATGAAGTTGTTACCTTGATTGATGATGAGAAGGATGCAATATCTTCAAAATCTTTGCTATTTTGATGGAAAAATATGAAGAAATTGGCTGGAGTATGAATGATGAAGAAGGTGATCTTGAGAGTCTCTTGAGTTTAGAGAGAGAGGGAGAGAGAGTTTCAAATGTTGGAAATGTGAAAAATGTGTTGTAAGGAGAAAATAATGATATTTATATATGGATTTTAGGAGGGAGGGGGGTGGCCGGCCAT